AAATACAGAAGCCACAAACTTATCTGTAATCCTTTGAACAAGAACATCCGATATATATATATATATATATATATATATATATATATATATATATATATATATATATATATATTTCAATGTCCTTCAATTTTACCTTCCTTCGCCCCATCTCTCTCCCCCACCTCTTCTTTCCTTTCCTCTCCCTCCCTCTTATTCTGATCTTCTGATCTTTGTGTATGTCACCACAAAATGTATCTTTATGCATTAGACATGCGACAACATTCATATTTTCTCTTACTTAAACCCCTTCCACTCATCTCTCCTAAAATTATCTCTGTTAAGGTTTAATCTCCCTCCTTCTCTAATCTGTTACCCCTTTCTTTAGCTCTAACATTCGTCCCACACCCTCATACTTACACTCTCTCTAAATTCTGTTTTATTTCCGGAGTTGTTTTTTTGTTTTTCTTTTTTTGAATTTGTAGGTCTGATGAATTGGATCGTATTTACGATTCCAATGGAATAAATTATGACCATTGAATATTAGTGTTTCCTTTTATTATATATATATATATATATATATATATATATATATATATATATGGCAAATGATTCAGCCAATCGAATCCGAGGATGCCAGTCTACTAGGGCGGCTAGCTAATCCCCATTGTAGACGCCTGCTCAGGCATATTTGTATTTGTTCAACACCTACAGAGGCCACCTGTGGTTTATACTGCAGCTATGCTGAGCAGACCTTAGTTACAGTTTCAATCGTCTTAAAAATTCTACCTCATATAGAGAATAGACCTACGTCAACCAACAAAAACTTCGTCAGTCTTATTAAACCCCGCTATATAGGCTGATATATCGGAATTAGAACTGTGACAGCTGTCGAAAAATGAATGCAGGATTTATCCATTCAATGGTTCAGTCCGTCAAAAGGCAAGAGACAGTAATCACAGTAGTGTAGAAGGTATTAGCCCTAAATGGAAAATGTTTTATAAAATTAAACCCGGATATTAAACTTTGGCATAAAATTGGGGTATTATGAACATTGAATTGTTAATTTTAAACTAAGAGAGGAACGAAAAAGTTAGGTTATTTTTTAATTATATTGATCAGGCTAAGTTTAAAAATACATGTTCCTACTTAAAAATACTCTTCAAAGGATAAGTTATATTTAAAAATAAGATATATTTAATAAATTAAAAATAAGTTGTATTTTGATAATTTATATTAATATTAAGTAAGATTATATATTTTAAATTATAATAAATTGGTTATATTAAAGAATAAAAATATTCAAAAATAAAAATATAAGATAAAAAAATTATACATTAGAAAATATTTATAGATAGTTAAATAAAAAGATATATTTAAAACGAAACATAAAAATACAAAGTCATATTTAAAAAAAAAAACTGAAAATATATAGATAAATAGGTGTAACTGATAAAAGGAAAAGGAGTTCTTAGCAAAAGGGACAATTTTAAGATATAATTATTATGGCGTATAAATAGAAATATTAGAAATTAGAATTAGTTATACATTCGGCATTTGAAAAGTTAGAGAAATATAGTAGCTAATAAAGTAAAATCTGTATTATGACAATTTCAATTTGTTTTTATGTCGGCAGTATAAAACTAATTCATTCTTCTGATTCAATAGTTTGATTTGATTATTGTATTTTAATATTCTAATATTTTTCTAAGCATAAATTACACCTTTCTCTATGAGTATTAGGAGTTTGTGCGGAGCCTATAATCTTCCAATCTAACTGTGGGTTCAAACTTTTCTCCTTCAATTCGCATTTTTTTTTTGAAAGAACTGTCTGTTGTTTTAATTTAGCAAAAGAGTGTGTGAGTATAAAATCTCTGTTTCCATTCCCCCGTGAAAATTCAGATGTAAACATTATATTTTTTCATATTTTCTTTGGGGAAAATGGTTACTTGCTATATAACCCTCGTAGATCTGCATTTGCCCTCAACATGACAACTTTCTTTATATCTACAATTACAGGAGGTTTCAGTTCCAGGTTTTTTATTTATCCCATAGAAATTACTTAAAATATAGTTATCGGACAGTATTTTCTAAAGTTAATAAATAAACATTTTCATAAAAACAACCCTCTAAGTAAGATCTTCAATAGGAAAACGATTAAAATTAGCTACTCCTGTACCAATACAATGTACGAAATTATCAACTCTTATAATAAGAATTAGAATTAGAATAATAAAATGGATTTGAATCAAACACTGTCAGATCAAAGTTCAGGAGACGTGGTACCCACCGAGCAGAAACTTTCGTCATGCTAAATTCATTGTGCAGAATATTCTCATCTTACTCACGGGATATGCTAATAGTATTGACTATTTGATTTATAGTCAATCACCTGTCATTCATCACCATGATGATCAATGTATTCCTCGGTGGTGGCAGTTACAGGACGTCAAAACCTGGGGTCATCTTCAAGATTCAGCCATCACCTCCTAAATCTAACTGCCTAATTTTGTACTGTCAATAAAGCTGGAGTAACATCTAATGCAGCGACCATGTCAGCATGAATATCCTTGGGGGCTAAACCCTTTTTTGAAGGTACTTAGTGTTACAAAATGCGTATTCAAGGGCTAGATTGGTTAGCAATTGGATGATGTTTATCGCGGCCGGGATATTCTGATAGTGATGCATAGCCTTTGTCTGGGATTTGAATATGCTGTATAAGAGTAAGCGTCCATGCCGACACTGTGGTTTGAAACTAGATCGCCAGTGAGTAACACGGGCGATTCCACTATTAAGTAGATCGCGTGATCATAAAGGAAGTGAATAAATAGGAAGTGGCGTGGTGATTATAAGGATCACTCCTCACTCTTCTTATCTATCCACTATTTCTATTCGAGCACTCTCTCTTCTCTATTACTATCCAGATTACGATTCGGTTCTGATTAGTAGACTATTTGGCGATTACTACTTGAACAAGTATTACTAGTGCGGATATTATGGGAAGGCGTTACTACTAGTACCGGCGTCTACGATGTCTCGAATATAACGAGCATTTTTTGAAGTGCTAATGAGCTTCCGATTGACATAGCAAAAGTGACAAGTAACATTACAAAAGGATCGAAAAGAATTTGCTAGGAATCATAAAAAAATGTATGTTCGAAACGGCGCGAATTCAACAGAGGGTCTCGAGAATTATGACGTCTCGATATGCCTCCCACACCAGGTTTGATACCGGCTAATAGTACCCGTGGAGGAACTTGTTACATGTTTCATTCTAATGCTTCTTTGAATCCAAGCTGCCACTCTTGATAAAACGAATAGCAAAAGAATAAATTGTCCTTCTCCTTGATAACGTTTTATGTGTAGCGTGGAGATCCCGATACGACATAGAATGAATTACAATACCATCATGCCAAATTTTGTCCATTTTCAAGAGAAATCGGTACTAGTTACATCTAAAGGCTTCTTTGAAGAGCCAAATGTCAGTTTACCTGAAAAAATAAACAATGCAATACACCCAAGATTTCACAGTTCTAGCATCTCTCCTTCATAGACCTATGAACCTTTCAGTCTATCCCCGTACCATCAATCTCAGGTAACGCAGAATTATTTAGCATTTTTATATATCGTAATTCTTCATGTATAATACGCCTTCATCCATAATACGCACCCCTAAAATTGTGCTGAAAATGTGGTAAAATATGCCTACTCATGCATAATACACACCTCTTGTTTGGTAATCAAACCCTATAAATTGTACCTCTCCCATTTCATTACGGTCAGCCTTTCATATTCTTATTAAAAAATGGATTTAAACATAGAATAATATTATTCTAATTTAGTTTTATCATAATTCTTATTTTATTTTACATTCATAAGTATTGTTAGGTACATATGATTGTATTTGACATCCTCATGGGGTCGCACAAACCGAACGTTAGTGTCAAATTGTTGTATGTTTGTGGTCAGTAGTCATTTCGTAACTGAAAATCGATCTATGAAACGGCAATTTTTTTAAAGTTTGTTTTGTAGCTGTGCATAATACGCACCACTAATTTGGCTTATTATTTTTTTAGAAATAATGCATATTATACATAGGAAATACCGTAATTATATTTTTCTTAGCATGGGCGTTATATAGCACTTGTTTTTTGCTGAGGGTGCAGAGAATCAGGTTAACACATTCGTAAGGAACTTGACGAGGCATATTCAGAAATTCGTTAAAGTGTTCATAATGTTTGACAACAATGTCATTTTGAGCACTGAGTAACTTTTTGCCCTGCAAAGTTCATAAAGAGGCTACCAGAGTGTAAGTCAGTCCATAAACTATCCGTCTCGAAGATTCGTATTGATGTTAGTCAGACAAAGTTCTAAGTTTTTATTCCCCTAGAGAGTGTCTTCTATGTTACGGAGCCTATGCATTATTTTTTCTCTTCACCTCTCCCTGCAGGGTTTCATTTTTTACTCAATTCTGGTCCTACCCGATGCACTCATGTTAAAGCTATTTTTTATTTTATTTTAATAGCTCGTCCTGGGTATGACGATAAATTGCATCCGGCAGCAAGGCCTCTGATTGGGAGGTTTTCAGAAATGTGGAACAACCTCTTAATTGCGTTTGTTCCCAGGACCACCCTGAATCGGGGGTGGGGGTAGCAACGATTGCTTTACCAACTAGGGGAAAATAGCTTACACCCAAACTAGAGACAAAACACTATAAAAATATACTAAGCGTTTTATTGTAAAAATACCAGCAATATATTTTCATAAATTAACAGCAATACATTTTCATAGTAAAAGAAATTACCAGCAATACATTTTCACAGTCAAATAAATTACCAGGAATAAATTTTCATAGTAAGATAAATTACCAGCAATACATTCTCATAGTAAAACAAATTACCAGCAATACATTTTCACAGTCAAATAAGTTACCAGCAGTACATTTTCATAATAAAATAAATTACCAGCAATATACTCTCATAGTAAAACAAATTACCAGCAATACATTTTCACGGCCAAATAAATTACCAGCAATACAGATAGATAGATAGATAGATAGATAGATAGATAGATAGATAAAGAGAGAGAGTGATAGAGAGAGATCTGAAAAATGGGAAGAGAGGTAAATTTGAAAAGATGTGAAGATACATAGATCTGAACAGATAGACAGATGTGAAAAGATAGATAGATAGATAGATAGATAGATAGATAGATGTGAAAAGATAGATAGACAGATAGATCTTAAGACATAAATTGACAGATCTGAACAGATAGATAGATAGATAGACCTGAAAAGATAGGAAGATAGATAGATCTGAATACGTAGATATATATATATATATATATATATATATATATATATATATATATATATAGATAAATCTGAAAAGATAGATAGATAGATAGATAGATATATAATCAAGATAGATAGATAGATAGATAGATAGATAGATAGATAGATAGATATTAAAAGGCATGAGATAGATAGATAGATAGATAGATAGATAGATAGATAGATAGATATTAAGAGGCATTAGATAGATAGATAGATAGATAGATAGATAGATAGATAGATAGATAGATAGATATTAAAAGGCATTAGATAGATAGATAGATAGATAGATAGATAGATAGATAGATAGATAGAGAAAAAAGTAGCTGGCTGCAATAGATAGATAGTGAAAAACTGAGATAGCTAGATAGATAGATAGCTAGATAGATAGATAGATAGATAGATAGATAGATAGATAGATACGAACGGACTCATAGATCGATAGACAAACAGAATACTGCAATATGAAAAAGAACCACGTAGACAACTGTTGCCATTTAGCAACACCAGCATCGGACATACCGTCCATTTGACTGTAAACCACGGCTTATTCAGCACCCGACTTAATTTCCGTTATCGACAAAGAAGTTGTATAAACTATCCTGAACGTTTGCTGTCTTCGATCTGCCTCCATCGATTAAGACCGTCTTTAATCAAGAGAGCGAATTCGAGTGACAAAATGTAAAGTTTCATCGGAATATGTACATCGTATCTGACTGAATCGTCCGCCCGTCCCACATTAGAGGACACGACGGGGCGACATGTTTGTCGACTGCGTTTGTCAATATAAGTTACTTATTTAATGAATTGAAAAAGACTTTTTTTTTTTCACTGGGACGTTCGATAAACCTCGCACTATCATGAAAGTTTCTTTTGTTTTTCTATTTCTCATTATAGACTGTTTACTTGTATTTAGATTGCTACTTCTGATCAGTTTTCGTTGTTTTACAGCTCACCACATCTTCCTTTTCTTTATTATCTACGAATTACCATCACTTGTTCGGACAGTGGATAACGGCCATATCTCATTAAAACACCGTTTCTCTCAAGATCGCAACGTTGAGTCTAGTCAGTACCTTGATGGGTTACCACTTGGGAACACTAGGTGCTGTCAGCTTGAATGTGAATACTGGCACGGAATTGCTAATAGGAGAGCCGAGTTCCAATTCCAGTCGGATTCTATATATTCACTTACGCGCAAATACCCTAGGGAGAAGGCATGAATCCACGATTTGGTATTTACTTGATTCCCACAAAATCAAGATGTGACACAAGGTCGTTTAAAGTGGGAGACCCGAGCGTTTCCACTCAAAGGCCACTGGTCAAAATTGGACATAGCTTGTCCAAGCTGGTCAGAGCCTAGTCAAAGCTGGTCATGACTTGTCCTAACAGGTCCAGGCGCCAGTCCAAGCTAGTCAAAGCCTTGATCGAATCTCAGCCTTCGGCCAAGAAACGATCCATTATTTGTCAAAAACCCCAGCCAAAAGGCCGGGCGATTTACCCACACAGTCAGGGTAATTTGTATCAGAAAATCATTATTATCTCCAAAATAATTATTACAGTAAAAAAAAAAAATAGGCAGCAATGTTGTAACCTAGGAATAGCCAAAAGAAAGGTTGGAAATGAAATGGTAATCTTTATAACATCAACAAAATACAATACTCGCCAGCGACGAGATGTAGGTAAACCACTGCTAGTGGTGCACTACTTAGAGAGCATATTGCCCCCACTTACAACAGAGTCCAGCGTATTTCTGAGGATTGAAACATAGCCATTAGTGTTCATAGGTACGGTATATAACACTGCCAAATTTGTTAAGACGTAAAAAAGAAAGCACCCTACCCAGGGTTAATTAATAAGATTTGTGTCAAATAAATCATTATCTCCAAAATAATCCTTATATTCTAAAAAAAATATTTATCTGACTTTAAAGAGCCTGTAAAATATTGATAAACCGTAAAAAAACAAATCCATCTTTCAAATCTGAGTTCCAATTGCAATCGGGTTCGTTATATTCTATTATACGCATATACCCCTGGAAAAGTTATGAATTTAACTCGTTTCCACCTACCCAAGGTTAATTAGTAAGATATTTATCAATAAAATCATTATCACCAACATAATTCTTACAGTCTAAAACATATTTATCTGGCTTTAAATAGCCTGTAAAATGTTGATAAACCATAAAAAACAAATCAATCTTTCAAATCTGAGTTCCATTTAATATCGGATTTGTTATATTCCATTACACGCAAATATCCTTAGGAAAGGTATGAATTCACCACTTTTCCACCTACCCAGGGTTAATTAATAAGATTTGTATCAATAAAATCCTTATCTCCAAAATAATTCTTACAGTCTAAAAGATATTTATCTGGCTTTAAATAGCCTGCAAAATATTCCCTTACGCACATATACCCTTGGGAAAGGTATGTATCCACCTCTTTTCCACTAATTTATGGTTAATTAGTATGATTTGTATCAATAAAATCATTAACTCCAATATAATTCTTTCAGTCAAAGAAATATTTGTTTGTCTTTGTACTCAAAGTTCATCCGAAAAATCACCTCATCATCACTTCAGGCAATCTTACTAATAGTCTGGATGATGCACAGTACTGAAATATTTGACCGCGAGAAAGGCAATAAAGCAACTAAGACGCAAGTGGGTTACTGGGTGTGGAAGAGTTAGAAACAGGAATAATTGTTAGGGAGCAAGAAAAGAGGAAGTGCAATCAGGAGGACTTCAGATAATGACTGACATTGCATTTCAATTTTTGCAGATTAAACTTGACCGGAAATCATGGAGGCGGGAGAGATTTCTACAAATGAGACGTTTGAGAAATGACAGAGAGAGGCAACCTTAGTAATATTCCGGATGATGCCCAGTACTGAAATATTTGACCCCAAACAAGGCAATAAAGCTACTAAGACGCAAGGGGTTACTGGGTGTGGGAGAGTTAGAAACAGGGATAATTGTTAGAGAGATCAGAGGAAGAGCAATCAGGAGGACAGTAGATATCGACTGACATTGCATTTAACTTTTTACAGATTAAAGTTGGCTGGGAAGCATGGAGTATAAAAATGAAAGGCGAAAGTATGAGTTGTCAGAGGACTCGAGAGACAATTCTCTTATCATCGGAAGATTATCCCGGAAGTAAACACCATGTCTATGTTTGTGAATACTGGGATCTTTTCGGCAAAAGGAAAGATAACCGAAACAGAGAATTTATTTTAGCAATGCCAGAATTTAAGTTTGCTTCGCAAAGTGCTCTTGGAACGAACGCAATTCGGTAATAACCGAGACATGAGTGACTTTTAAAAAAAAAAAAACTCGGTATCAGCCCAAGCAGGGTAATACAGCCACTATCACGCAATGGGGTTCCAGGTTGTGGAAGAATTAGAAACAGAAACATTAGTAACAAGGAGAAAGAGAAAAGAGCAATCAGGAGGTCAGTAGATAACAATTGACACTGCATTTTAATTATGCAGGTTAATATTGGCTGGAAATCTTGAAGTCGGAAGGAAGTTCTACAAACGAGACGTGTGAGATAAGAAACTCTGAGCATAGAAGTTACGGTAACATTTAACCAGCTCAACTGTAAATTGATGAGACCTCATCGCCAATCTAGTACTGCGCTTAAATTCCAAAAGTCTAGGTATCATAACGAAGAACTCATCCAAACAATTACCATGAAAATATTTATTTAAAAAGGGCACAGAGAGGCAACCTTATGGCGGTGGGTAATTGACGAAAACCGAAACACCAGATCAGGACCAATATTTTCATGTGTATAGTACAAGGATAAAATTTCATTCTCCTTGCTGATCGCTTACTTGAAATAGTGTCTACGTATGAATGAACAAAGGCACAGCAGTTATCCATAATTAGCACATACTTCAAGGGGACATTAATATGGGTAGTATCGACATCCTAGAAGGTTATTTTAGTTTTAGAGGGGACGGTTGTTTGTTTTGAAGCATAAAATACGCATAAAGCTCTTCATATTAAATGGATGTACAAAGACTTTATATTTTTCTAAATTATACCCCACTTATGGTGGGTTATCTAACTAACAATACTAAATCAAACTAATGTGTTTCAACACTCATACAATTCACTATAACTGATAACCCACTATAAAATATCATTAAGAATATGTAATTTCGAATCATGAATTGAACATGAGAAATTCAAGCAAGTAAGAAAATTTAAATACATGCGAAATGTTTTAACAGACGACGGAAAATATAATAGGAAAATACGAAGGCATAGTGCGATAGCAAAAGAAGCATTTCAAATTAATATTGAAAGACTAAGAGTTGAACTATATGTAAGGTTCACCCTTGACAAGGCTCGAGAGCCACACGAGGTAGAGGGTTATGTCCGAGGGTCATTTTTGCGTACAGGATTAGGAGATAACTGTTAACCCAAGCCTTGAACAGATTAAGATTGTAATGAGAAATTTCTGTAAGGATTTGGTTCTATAAGGCAATGGTTTGGGGGAAAAGCTGCTCGAGTGGAACTTACTTCTCACCGGTGGAATACAGAGTCGACTCGGGAACAACAGTAATTAAGAAGTGGTCTTACGAACCTCAAAAGCTCCGGATCAGAGGCCTTGTTTATTGTCATGCCCGGGACAACTTACTGAAAAGCGAAATTGTTTAAATAATGCAAAGAATAGATTTTATTTCAAAGAATACCAGGTATAAAAGATTCAACAGAAAAGTAACGACCAAAGGAGAAGTATATTTTCTCGTATAAATACGATTCGATATTTTTTCAGATTAAATATCATTATGAATATCTAGTTTCGAATTATGAACTGGACATGAGAAAAATGAAGGAAGTAAGAAAATTTAAATATATGCGAAGTGTTTTACGACTGAAAATGTGACAGAGAAATAAGAAGGCACCTTGGAATAGAGAAAGATGTCTTCCAAAAGCTAAGCAAACTATTAAGAAATAGACTAATTTCTTTGGAAACTAAGAAAAGAGTGTAGAACTATTATGTAATATCAATCTTCCTATATGACAGAGAATGCTAGACAATCACCTTGTAGACGAAGACAAGACTGATGCAACAGAAATGTCGTTCTACAGTAGAATGCTGAGAATGTGATGGACTGAACATGCAAGCAACGAGGACATTTGAAGGAAAAAATGGAACAAAACTGACTTATATTGAAATAGGAAAGAGA